TTACAGTGATTGAGAAAGGGTCAGAAAACGGGATAGGAAAAGTAATACTGTATAATCAGAATATCCTATTATCCTACCAGTTTTAATGACAGGGTTTTTCCTTTATTAGTTGAAATACAAAGAAGGCATAGGGGATCCCAGGAAAATAACACTATATATCAGAAAATTCAACGTGCTCCACCATCAGGATTTCCATCACACATTTAATTTCTTCTGTACAATTTTTATAAATGTGTTTTTCTTTTCAAAACCGTCAGATTTCCAGATTAAATTCAGCACTACACAGTATGCCCTTGAAGTAAAATGAGGTTACCTGCTTTATTTGGATACCAAGTTCCCTTCCAGACAGCATTAAAATAAAGACAAGACTACACAGATAAAATCCAGTATAATTCAAATCCAACAATGAAAAATTCCCCCCATATTGTTGCAAAATTCATTCTACTGAAATGCTTTGCTACAATAATAAAAAGCATACATTACATATAAAAGATACCAGTGTACTAAAAAGTGACAGAAGTGGACTAGCAAATCCTTCAAAGCACATTATATAAATGACTAGCATTTAAAAACATTTCTCCTATAAAATGTAGGTCATATACATTTATAAATTGGCGGTTTTATTTCTAAAGCAGTGATGTGTGTGTTCAAATAGTTAGCTGTTCTGTACAGTATAATATCTACTCAATTCAAACTACAATAGGTTTGTCTTTCTTTGTATTGAAGTTGAATAAATTCATCTGTTCAGCTGAGAAATCAAGCTTGAAAAATACATATCTAAAAATCAAAGTAGAAAGTTTAGAATTACTGAAATGTAGCTATGAAATATGAAGAGAACTATGTCACAATGGAGCTGAAGTCACCTCAAAACTTATGGGCTTGAATCTAAAACAGAAACAAATATTAAATCCAAAGCAAACCACAAAGTTAGGTAGCAGTACAGAAGCAGGAAAAAAAACAAAAAACAAATAAAAAAAAACCACACCCCCTTCCTTCAGTGTGATGGGCACTAAGTTTTGCGGTCTTCCTCCATCTTGCAGAAGAGTGGTAAGGCCATTCAATGCTTAGTGAAAGTGAGTACAGATGAAGTCAGATTTAGCCTGTCTCCCCTGCAACTTCAATTATGCTGTGTAAACAGTGTTATGTTCCAGTAGGAGGAACAATGGAATTTACTTATAAAAACTGATTAAAGATAATCATTATTAAATGAAATAAGGAGAATAACTCTGAAATGTTTTTAGAACTTTCCTGATGCTACTTGTACAGTTAGCACTGCTATGTATTATTGCTTACGTACAGTACAACATCATATGCCTTCTAACATAAAGCAGTACTGTGATTTGTTTGTACATATTTACAGATTCTTAAAAACAAGCTGTAAAAACATTACATACTTTCAGACAATACAAATTAGCACATTGGTACTCACTTCAAAACAAATGGAATGCATAACATTAATAAACATCATAAAGGAAGACTCACATAAAAGTCCTTGATTGTCAAGACACGTTTATATATAAACTCTAACTGTGCAGAATTAAAGATTCAATCATAGGTACATCCTTATTTGATGAACCGTATTTACAGCATGGTATTGCATAAAAAAATAAAATAATGTTTACAGGGTTTTACTTTTTTATCCATTGGATTAAAGAAAGCAACAAACACAACAGGAAATGTTTGTCTGCTTTAGTTTGTTTCCTACCAACGTTTAAGTGAAAAAAGGAAACACGGTTTTATTTGCAGAATATAGCAAAACAACTGGAAAATTATTTCCCTGAAATAAAGCAATTTGAAACAGAAAAAGTTTAAATTAAATTGCAGTGTCAAAAAGTTTCTCATTGATTATAATAGTGCTTCTTCAAGTAATTATACTGTGAAAAAACAAGTTCTAGTTTAAGATGTTCTATCTAAGAAATGCGGTACTACAGTAATGCCTACTTTTAAAGTTTCCCGGCTTTTTTTTTTTTAAACAGCCCTTTAAAAACCCAAATTGATAAAATGAAAGAAGTGGCAAAAGATCTAACCTACCTGGCACTTTGCAAGTTTCTCTCCCCTGTGGTAATGAAAGCCTACCCTGAGCACAAGACCTCTTTTGCCTGTCAGAAAGGGAAAATTACCCGACCACTGACAGTCCTCAGCCAGAGCTAAAAGGATGGATTTGTATGGTATCAAACAGAAAATCTGCAAGGACATCCAAAAGATTTAAGAGCCACTCAAATATTCTGAACCAAATGAATATGTGTACAATAAGAAGTCAAAAAAAAAAAAAAAAAAAAAAAAAAGCTTTACAAGATGTTCAACAGAGATTACCTCATCTAACCTGATCTGCTTCCAATCTTCAAACAGGAGAGTAGGTCCTAAGTGCAAAAGCATACCTCACTCACATTGACCAAAAGTTTAATGGTATAAGAGCATGTTTTAATGAAACACTTTGCTAACTGAAATGAAAAACACAAATTGCAGAAGGATTATCTCATATCCTCAATATTCTGATCTACAGCAGCACATAAAGGCTACTTACTTTTTACTATTAATGCCCAGATACAAATTAAGTAACTTTCTAAAGCAAAGTGGGGAAACCCAAACTGTTGAGATGTTTATCCTATGATGATAATACAAGGTAATTCTGGTAGGCATTTAGAATTTCACAGTAAGAGAGCCACAACTACTATACTTAAATGGTACGTCAATAACTTATGTCAAAGTATCAAATGCTTACAATGTGGTAGAAAAGTCTGCCATTATGTATATTTAAAGAAATGTGCCGAAGACAGGAATGCAACACCTGAAATTTTGCTTGCGTAACTACCATTTTCAAAGGCCTGCCTTCCTTGGCTTACCCTAACTGCTCAGCAGTAGAGTCACACTCTAAAAAAACTGTGCTGGTGATATTAAAGCAAACAAAAACTGTATACTATACCAGGACTGAACAAGTTGTTGAAGAACAAAATTTTTGACCAGGTTCAAAAAAAGAAAAAGAAAAAAGGAAAAAGGAAAAAGGAAAGAGAAAGAAGAGAGAGAGAAAGAGAAAGAGAAAGAGAAAGAGAAAGAGAAAGAGAAAGAGAAAGAGAAAAAACAAAAAGAAATCAACTCAGGAAATAAATGCCTATTATCAAATAACAGTATGAGAAAAATATAAACACCTATATAGCATGAGCACAGTTCCATTTTTCACATCTCACCTGAATAGAGCCTTCTTGCAATTGCATGATGTATAACACAACACACACTATTCTTCAAAGTCAGTAATGGCAGAACTTAAACATCTACCTCAGAGAAGTCTAAAATTCTTGAAAAGTTTGGCAGCAAAGAAAGCTGTCAAATAGGAAAATTAATATTTCAAGCAAAGCTTAATAACCAAAGTACAGAGGAAACCACATTAAACATAATTTATATTCATTATCATAAAACACCAAAATATTCAAAATAAATGTAAAAGATGTTAAGGGTTGATATTTTCTTTGTTCCCTTTATGAGAACAGTCTTGGGATAACATTAAATAAAAGAAACAATAATTTAAATGTGTAACATTCTATACTGAAACAAAGACTGCAGATCTATAGGGCCAATATAAAAGTTAAAGTGGAAATTAGCAACAATAAAGTTTCACCTTCCAAGAATATTAATTTTAGAGTATCACTGGTGCTACATCAGTATGTGCATTGTGACAAAGATGGTGGAAATTAAAATAAGCAAAAAAGTTGGAACAAATTAAAGAGGATAATAAAATCAATAGAAGTAATGTTATTTTCCAAAAATTAAAACTGTCCAATGTGTAACTCAAACCATCATTCTTTAGAAAAGTATACATATGTGTATATATAAAAGCACTATTTATGGTACCATGCTGTATTATTTTAAGACAAAGTATATATATATATATATATATATTAAAAAAAAAAAAAACATTCGTGGTATAAGGATAAAGTCTGTAGTTTATTTAGATTTTGAAATGCAACAAAAAGTTTCCGATCACTCATCTAGCTGAAAAAGAAATTGTAGTTACTAGAATTAGTAAACACTTTTGGTTTGTAAAATTGTAATGAGCAGTGTTCATTAAAAAGTAATTCAAGATAAAATAAGCAATTAAAATGCCCATTTCTTTAGTTTCTCTGGATACTGTTTAATTATCCAATCTATCAAGATTCTAGAAAGAGAAGGATTAAACCAGGTTTTACAGTTCCAAAGATATCCAATTTCCTTTTATTGCCAAAAATTAAAATTGTCAATTATGAGATGATTATGACACAACCATATCAAACCTAAAAATCTAATTTTTTTTTTACTTTGAGAAATCAAAAATACCAAATAGATTCTAAGTGCTCTATGTTAACTGAAGTGTATATGTAAAGTAAAATACAATTAAGCTTTAAAACGTGGAATATACATTTTGTGTAAGCATTATGTTCTTGGGAATGTAATCTACAGAATATCTTTTTACTAAAACTTCAAAACCTTGATACCTGCACATGAAAAATCATAAAAAATATCTAAGTACAACTGTACAAAGAAACTGACACCAATATGCATACTTCCATTGAGAAGTGAATGCTTCAACAGTTACGTATTTTGGTAAAAGTTTTGAAAGTATGCATATTTTAAAAGTAATTAGGCTTTTAAATAGTGGAGTCTTAGACTATCAGATTTTTATTACTTTCTTTTCTCAAAAAAAAAAAAACATGTCAATATAATGCAAAATGAAAATCAAGGGTATATGGCATATCATTCTTTTTAAACGGTGGTTTCTTGGTTTCTTTTTTTCCTCCTATAGGACACACTAATTTATTTAAGCCATAATCTCTTGACATTTAAACTCTGAAGTTCACTCTGTCTGTAAAGTATACTCAGATTCCCTGCTGAAGTGCAATGACTATGCTGAAAAACTTAGAAACAGTATGAGTAAATTTCACACAATTACTAATCTCCTAAGAATGTACAATGTTATCAATTAGGAAACAATTGTGCGAAAGTCTTTTTTTTTTCCTTTTAAACTCGGTGTAGGTGGAATAGCAAGTTTCTGTTCTAAAACAAGTAATGCATTGCTTCTATAAAGGTGACAACATGTAAGGCAGTTCAAAGAATGCTGACTAACCAAACAAAATGCAGTTATTGGATTATCTTGCTATTCATATCAGCTTAACTTGTTATAACGCATTGCTCTTAAATCTGTACAGCACTCCATTTACACAGAGTAACCCCACTCTTGATTAATCTGTTCTAAAGTGCCAGTATTATTTACACTTTTTTTTAGCCAAAGGTCTGGCCAGTTGTAGCATCAGGTGAAGATGTCATCCCAGCTCTATTATCATTTACATTCACCAAGGGAAATTCTGGAAATTCAGCACTTGTCCCTGGTCCCCGAAGGTTCACCTGTCCATTGGCAGTGCTAAACTGAGTAGCTATTCCAGCTCTTGATCCATGATATGGAGCGCGGAAGGGCTGTTCAAAGGAGCTCATTTGGTAAGCTTGGTGGACAGGCTGAGCCTCAGCTTTTTTCTGAGAAGTCACTTGATCCAAAAAGTCCTGTGTTGATGTGGCAGAAGCATGGTTTGTCTCATCACCTGAAAAGGGAAATGAGTGCTGTGAATCACCAACTATTAGTCCAAAGTGGGACTTATCTGGAGTTGTTCTTAGTGGAGAATTCATTCCTGATCGAAAGCTATTGATGGGCATGGCTGCATAGACTTGCTTGTCTATGGAAGAGAATGCTGGCTGATTTGGAAGGGTCTGGTTATCAGTCACAAAGTTAAGGCTCGGGCTATTCAAATAGGCATCATTTTGGCTAGTTCTGTCCAAAGCCTGCTGCAGAAACTTTGAGTATTCCTGCAACATGTTGGCTTTATCTGATGAGGATGCTTGGGAGCTTGATCCAACATTCTCTGCCTGGGTGACCTCAGGTACTTCTGAAGAATTTATTGATATGCTAGAAGTCACCTCAGTGTCTGCAACACTGAATGATATCTCATGCTGTCCATTAGCTTTATGAGAGTAATGATCCAAGAGAGTCTGCAGTACCTCATCTGGAATAACATTTTTGTCATGGTTACTCTTAATCTCCACATTCAGTGCCTGTGAATCTAATATGGATGCCGTAGTACTTTCATCAATGACACTTGCCACAGCTGCTTGTGTTACAGAAGGCTGAGAAGCTATGGTGCCCACATTCAGCGCATACTCCCTACTATTGTTACTTGCTGCTTGAAGGTATCGTTTCTTCTTCAAAAACTGCATGGCATCATCATAATTAGTACTACTGTGCACAGGTTTACTGGGCCCCTCCTGCAAATTATCGACCTGATCAATATCAGCATTGCCCTCTGAGTCCAGTAAAGCTTGTTTATCCACAAGTTCAAAAGCATACTTTGAAACTTTGCTCTCTTCATATGTGGATAAGGGAGAAATTGTTTGATTCTGCTCCAATGGCTGCTTCAGACTTCTCTTACTATTAATTTTTTTGAGAACCAACTTAGGTGGATGTATTTCTCCTGATGCATCTTCTAAATGCGATCCCCCAACTGAAGAATGTGGCATTTCAACAGCATACTCTGCTACCATATACTCATCTTTTACTTTAGTACTTGAAGAATAAAGGGGCAGGTAATCATTTTTGTCTTTCTTCAGGTCAGATTTGTCCAAAGCACTTTCTTTGTCCATCCCAGATGATTTTTTCTCAGTTTTCTGCCTTTTCTTTTTTGGCAGTGAGTTATCTTTTGGTGATGTAGAAAAGCCAGAATCTTCCTCAGATGTCAGAAGGCCACCTTTGATGGCACATCTGTTTAGCTTTTTGTCATGATTTTCATGGCACATACGTTTATGTTTCAATACACGATCTGTTCTGGAAAAATACTGTCAAATTCAGATTTCAGCAGTGAGTTTTTTAGTTTGTGTTTTTCGTCAAGCAAGAAAAGAAAAGAAAAAAGTAATTAATATAAAAATAGAAGCAGAATAATATAAGCAAATCCAAATGAATTTGTTGAGCCGTTTGCCAATTATAAATCTAATCAACAGCAGTTGGGAGGTTCTTCAAACAGTTCTAGTAATGACATTTTCTAATTTACTAGAATGATTTTATAATTTAATTTAGGATAGAAGAATTTCAATGTCCATCATACCTCAGCAAAATGGTTAAAAAAACAAACATTTTAAACCACCCCTTACCTGTAAACAGTATTCACACTGGTAAGGTTTTTCTCCACTATGAGTTCTCTTATGCCTTTCCATGTGATATTTTTGTATGAATCTCATACCACATTCATCACAGCGAAATGGTTTTTCACCTAGTACATGATATAGAAAGTTTAAAACAAAACAAGTGTTATGACAAAAACTCTACCCCTATATTAAATATATCTTCCAATTTAATTGGTAAAAAATATTTTGCTTTGGGGTGCCTGGGTGGTTCAGTTGGTTAAGCATCCGGCTCTTGATTTCAGCTCAGGTCATAATCTGTTTGTGAGATGGAGCCCTGAGTCAGGCTCTGCGCTGACAGCATGGAGCCTGCTTGGGATCCTCTCCTCCCTCTCTGCACCCCCCCCCCCCAGCATGCGTGCTTGTGCATACTCTTCCTCTCTCTCTCAAAATAAATAAACATTAAAAAATATTGTGCTTTATAAAAATAAAAGATTGGCATGTGCCATTGGGAAGAAAAGACTGAAAGTAGGCATACTCAATTTCCCTCCCTTTCTATTATGTGTGTACATAACACACTCTCTGTGGAGACAAACAGTACCAGGAACTTACAGCAAGATGGACATGGTTTTAGTAAGAGTAGTTGAAGCTTTTAATCTTTTTTATTCAATCATACAAAATACTATTTTAGAAAATTTTTTGAAAAAAGAAAATGTTACCCATACATAGTCCAACACAATCCTTGGATACACCTTTTCAATTCTTCATTTCTTTTCAACAAATATTTGTGGTTAAATGAAATCTGAATCCTAGGAAATAGTCTTAAAAATCTAATTCATTAAAACATAAAAAGAACTTAAATTACAGACTAAATTTCAAAAGGTTTGTTTATAACTGATCACTTTTCTCAACTCAAACCAGAATTTCTCAGGTCCTTTTTTTGGCAGGGAATGAATCAAACCAAGTACTGGTCATCAGACACATAACCCCGGCTTCCACCCCCTCCATTTTATGTTTTAAAGTGTCATAAGGACTTTTTGGCTGTAAGGAACCATTACTATGGAGATCTAAAATAGTTTTTACTGATAAAACCACAGTAAACAGAAGGGTGTGATAATAAGTTACCTTGAATAGTATGTTTTTGGGAAGCAACTGTTTTCATCTTTCATACATTTGACAAAATCCTATGGAATACTTGCTCTCTAACCCATAACCCTGCTGCAGGTGATTAAAACTGTAAGATTCATTACTTGTCTTCATAGAGCTTGGGAAAACAAGACGCGCACATTAGACAGACAACTAACTAATAAAACTATGTCCAGCTCCAGTTTACTTTTACAACGTTTTATCTCACTACCTTTCTTCTTAAAACTTTTCCTCCAGCCAAATCAAAATACCTACCATCTTGTGCTTTTCTACCTCTGCTACAATTCACACTGCTCCTTTAGTCAAGAATGCCTACCCCTGTGTGTTCAGGCGCTACATTCAAGTTCCAACCCAAATCTTCTGAGATCCTTTGCCCTATTCTTTCAAGGAAAAGTATCTTCATCTTCTTTAAATTTCCATAGAACTTCATCTGTGGCTCTCCTATGGCACTCATTAATTCATCTCAATAATTATTTTGTACATCTCTATTCTACAAGATCACATTTAAGGGCAGAATCTGAGCCTAAATTATCTTTATGTAGCTCAAAATATTTTGTGCACTTAAGTGTCAAACGAATGGCATAAATGATTATTAGAGTGGATTACTAGTGGGAAAAATGTTACTGAGCTGGTATGATTTGGAAAAGCTTCTTGCCGGTGTTAGAATTTAAAGTGAATAGCACTTAAAGAGACTGTGTATGTAATTAAAGCCAAAGAAAGAAAATGTAGTGGGAAACAGAGAAACTAAGGGTTTAGTTACTATAAAACGTCAAGGAGAAATGGTGCCTAAGAATATAATTTAATTTGGTGACAAGTAAATTATTTGAAACTTTCAAGAATGCAACTTCTGTAATTGCTATGGAGTTACCAAATTTTAGGGCCGAAGGGACCTTGTGGTAGCTTTCAAACTGTGCCATTGGGGGCTCCACAGAGACCCCCAAAGGCTGATGCTGTTGTGGCAAATGGCTCTAAGAGTGCCACCCAGATTTCAAGACAGAATAGTTCCACTTCTATATAATAGGGTTTTGAGTATGGACTTCAATGGTTCAGAGGCTAGATTAAGATTAACACAAGTAATCAAGACCAATTCACTTATTCCACAAAACAAAGAAATAATCGAAGCTGGGAGAGAGGATAACTTATTAAGAAAGTTTGGAAGTGAAAGAAATGAGGAAAAGGAGATGAGAAGTAATAATCAGGAGGCAATCTATTTAAGATCAAGTAGTGTTAGAGACTGAAATTAATTTATTTGAAGGCAGAAGGGAAAGAGCCAGTGAAGGAGAGAAATGAAATATTATCATTAATAATCAAAAGAACAAGATCTCAGAGGACTTAAGATGAAAAGGGAAGGAGAGTGCAGATTATATTTTAGAATAAAAGAAAAAAACAGTTGCATATTTTGACACAGAGAATGTAGATGATAGAGTTTATTGAGCTCACAAGTGAAAGTCACTTCTCAAAAGTGAGAAAGGATAAAAGAGAAAATTAGTGGACTGATAAGAATTCATTTAATGCTGCACGATATTCATGGACTGGCAGACTTAATACTGTTTAAGACGGTTAATACTCTCCAAGCAGATCTACACATTCAAAGCAGAAATTGAGAACCTGATCCTAACATTCATTTGGAAATGCAAGGGATCCAGAATAGCCAAAACAATCTTGAAAAAGAAAAACTAAGTAGGGAGACTCACACTTCCTAATTTCAAAACCTGCTACAAAGCTACAGTAATAAGATACTGTGGTAATGGCATAAGGATAGACATAGATCAAGGAATAGAATTGAGAGTCCAGAAATAGATCTTTACATTTATGGTCAACTGATTCTCAACATAGGTGCCAATACACTTCAACGGGGAAAAAATCGTTTTGTTTTTTTTTTTTCAACAATGATGGTGGACCAATTTGACACTCACATAAAGAATAGAGTTGGACCCCTACCTCGCATCATATACAAAACTTAACTCAAAATAGATCATAGGCCTAAATGTGAGAATGAAAACTATAAAACACTCAGAGGAAAACATAGAAATATCATGACCTTGAATTAGGTAATAATTTCTTAGATATGACACCAAAAGTCCAATCAACTAAACAAAAAATACAATGAACTTCATAAAAAATGTTTAATTCTTCAAAAAACACTATCAAGAAGGTAAAAAGAAAAAAAGGTGTAGCTCCTGTGGGAAACGGTCTAGCAACCCCTCAAAATGTTAAACACAGACAATTCTACTCCTATGTACATACCCAAAGAAATAGAAAACAACGACTCACTCAGATGCTTGTACCCCAATGCTCACAGAAACAGTATTAAGAACAGCCAAAAGATGGAAACAACCCAAGTGTCCAACAAAGGATGAATGGATTAGCAATATGTGATATATACATACCATGATATATTATTCAGCCATAAGAAGAAATGAAATTCTGATACATGCTACAACATGGATGAACCTTAAAGAAATTATGCTAAATGAAAGAAGCCAGACACAAAAAAGACAAGTACTGAATGATTCCACATAGATGAGGTTATCTAGAATAGGCAAATTCACAGAGACAAAAGTAGAATAGAGATTACCAAGGCCTGGGATAGGGAGGAAAGGAGAGTTGTATTGCTTAATGGTTAGAGGTTTTCATTTGGTCACATAATATTTTAAATGTACTTCATGCCACTAAATTGTATGCTTAAAAATGATTAAAATGCTCAACTTCATGTTGTGTTGTTTTTTTTTTTTTTAAGTGAAAAGATAACTTCTGGAATGGGGTAAAATATTTGTAAATTATGTACCGGATAAGGGATATGCATCCAGTATATGAAATGAACACTTACAACTCAACAGTTAAAAAGACAATCTAAGAATAGGCAATAGATCTGAATAGGCAGTTCTCCAAAGATATGCAAACAGTCAATAAGTACTTGAAAAGATGCTCATCATTGTTCATTAGGGTAATGCAAATCAAGACCACAATGAGATACTTCACACCCAATAGGAAAGTTAAAATAAAAAAGACAATCACAAATGTTAGCATGGATGTAGAGAATCTGCCCATATTTTCAAGACATATTTGTAGTTTCATCTTTTACATTAAATCTGATATATCTGGGGTTCATCCTGAGGTCCAGATGACTATCTAGTTTTCCCAACACCATTTACTGAAAAGTTCCACTTTTTTCGATCACTTCTTTAATCAAAATCATATACTAGTAAGTTCCATGGGTCTATTTCTAAACCTTCTATTCTGTTCCATTGGTCTGACTGTTCATAAGCCAGAAAGAAAATGTTTTATGACTTTATAATACATTTTATCATCTGGTAGGGCTAATCCCCCTCATTGTTGTTCTGGTTTATCCACTTTCCATATTACTTCAAAATTAACTTGTCTAGTAACTGCAGTAGGAAAGGGAGAGCTGCCTGAAATATTTACGTTAACTTATTAAAAAATTGGTATTCCTGGGCACCTGGGTGGCTCAGTTGGTTAGATGTATGACTTCAGCTCAGGTCATGATCTCGCAGTGAGTTTGAGCCCCGCGTCTGGCTCAGTGCTGACAGCTTGGAGCTTGGAGCTTGGAGCCTGGAGCCTGCTTCAGATTCTGTGTCTCCCTCGCTCTCTGCCCCTCCCCCACTTGCACTCTGTCTCCCTCGCTCTCTCTCAAAAATGAATAAACGTTAAAAAAATTTTTTTTAAAATTGGTATCTTTTATGATGTTGACCTTTCTTACCACTAAATAAATAAATAAATAACCAACCAACCAACCAACCCAGGGCGGGGGGGCGGGGTGGTGGGGGGGAACAGGGAAGGGGAAATATGTCCTTCCATTTCATCAAGTTTTGTTTTGTGTCAACAGTGTTTTAGTGATTTCTTCATATGGGATATCCCACATTTCTTATTGTTGATACTGTAAAAAAGGGTGTTTTCTTCTGTTATATCTTCTACTGTGGGTGTGTATATACAAAGTGTATGGTTTTCTGTTTTACTGAATTTACTAGTTTGCAATAATTTT